TACTGCAAGTGGGGGAGAGGGAGTGTTTGTGCGCAAGACTGCTCCTTGTAGATATCGAGTGCTTCACAAAAATAAGCAAAACTAGTTGTGCTAACAGCATGCAGTCTGGTGTGTGGAGCTGCATGATGGAGTGGATGGGCTCATCCTCTCAGTCCAACCCTGACATCTAGTGTACACCAAAGGGAAATTTTCCAAGTGTGAAGTTCAAAAATGAAAAGTTATTCGGGGAAGGTCTGGCTTTGCAATGCACTTGACCTTCTTCTGCATTGATGATTTCTGAGATAACCACTTGTTGACAGCATAGAAATAAGCCTGAGTAATCTGTCCATCTTGGAAAGTCTTATGATCTCACACATATGGTGCCATTTAGACTTATTAATTACTTGTTGCAATTATCAACACTTGCAACACTTTAGCCTTTTTTCTGTTTAGCCCATTTGTGAACTGAGTATTTGCTCTAATCACAGGATTACTTTGCTACAGCAAGAAATTTTGGTGCTCATTTTTTTTGGAGAGGGAGTTTTTTGTATAGTTTTTTAGTAAAAGGATTCAAGTCTGAATTAAATGTCTGAACGTTAAAAGCCACAGTGAGTGAGGCATACAGAGACACTTGAGTATTCATTCCCTTACATTTTGTGTATTTCTATGTCTACACAAATAGGGACTGGAAAAGAAGATTGTCTCCCATGTCCTCAAGGGCAATTGCAGCAGCCAGAGCAGAGATGGAGGAAGGGAAGGAGGAGTTGTGGCTCAGCAGCTTAAATGGGTTTTTCCGGTTTTTTAAGTCATGAAGTAGACAGTTGAGTTTGTAAAGCAAATTTGGTTCTGCACCAACCATGTCCCCATCTCCTCCCTTCTTACTGAGGTCTGTTGTTCGCTTCTCTGCCAGCACAAGTCCTTCTGGCTGATCCCTCACTATTCTTTTGCATGTACTCCTCCCTGTAACCCAAACTTTTATCTTGATCTTTCACAGACCTGGTAAGCATCACTCATAGTATGGATCCTGGGCTATAGTCACAGAATCACTGAGGCTGGATGGCACCTCTGGAGCTGGCCAGTCCAAATAGGGCCCACTGGTGCAGGTTACTTAGGGCTCTGTCCAGTTTGGTTTTGAAAATCGCCAGGGATGGAGACTCCACAAACTCTCTGGGCTATCTGGGCCAGTACTCAGTAGTGAAAACAAGTTTTCTTACTTGTAAGTGTTGTTTCATGTATTTCAGCTTGTGCCCACTGCCTCTTGTCCTGTCAGTGGGTTCCACTGGGAAAAGCCTGGCTCCCTCTTCTTTACTCCCTCCTATCAGACATTTATATGCATTGATAAGATCCCTTCAAGCTTTCTCTTCTCTAGGCTAAACAGAATACAGACAAACAAACCTGGGATAGGTATAACTTTGTCTCAGACCCCAGGACCACCTGGGCGCCTAAAACCTACTTTGAAGGGTGGAAAAGACTTGACAGCTTGGAAAATGCAAGGCTCATGGCAGTGTAACTCACAGTTATATTTACACAGCTTGCATTTTACAGGATCATTGCACTTGTAAGAATAAGAACAAATGGTCCATCAAAAGCAGTTCTTTTATTTCTGGGATGTGCTTTCTAATTTTACTGCTGCTTGTCTGTCTGTCCAGTCCATGTCTTTTCAATACTCTTCAGGATGTGGGGTATAAGGATGAATTAAGCTTCCCTTCACAGATCCTGGGTCCAACAGCCATATTTGGCTTCCTCCTACCAGAACAGGAGCCAGTATCATGGAGTAGAAACTGGTTTTATCGTTCACTCTTTTTATTTGTAGAATTACATTCCCAGAATACTTGTATTTCTGTTTGCACCACCTCACTTTTATCTAGATAAGAGTGAGAAGCCCAAATTTCTGATGTGCTTCAATGACATGCCTTGTCGATTGTCACTTGTAGACACAATTGCTGGGCAGTCTCTCTGCATACAAGATTACTGTAAGGTCATGCATACAAAATGTATTTTTTGGAAAGGAAGGAATGGCATAGGACACTCAGGAAGATAAACTGTTATGATATCTAAATTTAAGTGGTCAAAGCATTATACAGTTATCAATTTATTAACCAGTAAGACAAAATTTCATCCAGACAAAAATTTCAGTGTAAACGTTGCTAAGCTCAATGCATGCAAATACTGCTTTATCTGTGGCTACAGTGTGAGTTAGCAATAACATCATGAATGTTTCTTTGGATTTGTTTCTGCTGCCATTTCTCTGGGCAAATCACTTAACCTATGGACCTCATGTTTAGCATTATGGAAGTGCTCATTACCTCCCGTTCAGATGGGTGATGGGCTTTCTGCAGTCCTTAGCTGAAAGCTGCTAAAGCACAGGGCCATTAAACCCCTCTGTCCCAATTCTATCATAAATGAAGGCCTGTCCCCTAGTTTCAAGGTAGAGGTTAATTGAGAATTCACTCCAAAACTACAGTTCCAGATAAATATCTGCATGGAAGCCAGCTGCTCAGGCTCTAAAGCAGTCAATGCCTATGTGCAGACAATGTAAGCGACTTCAGTCTGTAGCATCCCAGTCCCAACAATGACATGGAAAGGCTTAGCCTGTTTCTGTGCTTGCCCTTTCCTTCCGTTTTTGCTGTAATGGCTACGTGGGACCTTCAGAGACACTGGGTACAAATGCATTTCTGCCCCAGAACACACCAACTCCTGCCATTTGCCCAGGAGAGCAATTTGTGCAGTTTTAGCACTATCCTGACTTAAAGGGAGAGTTCAGAGCCTGAATGACAATAAATAAACCCAATAAACTAAATTCACACTGTTGTACAGTCCTCACACAATTCTGCAACACCTAAAGGCTTTGTTTTGGGGGAAGGGGCAGTGTTTATCTGGTTTGGAAAAAAATCTTATCTTATTCCCGAATAAAGTACCACTTAACACTTTTCACTGAGTGCAATGTGGCAGGTGAAAGCTTTGAGAAACAATTCATCGCACTGCTTCCCAGGAACATTGCAAAAACTCCTATCTACTTAATTGATAAAATGAAAAATTACTTTTTATTTGCTCACATTGCTCCTGGGTGGAAAAACAGTAAGTGCTGAATAGCCAGGCTATGAATATGCAATTTTAAATGAACTGCAGCTAATTATGTATGTTGCAGCAATTTTATGGCTGGACTTCAAGTTGATTTATACAGGGATGGTAAATTAGGCTGCTGTACTGTCAGAGATGTCACTGGAACTGTAACTCTTCTTTGGCGAAGAACATATAGTGCTAGGCTTAAAGGGTGCTAATTTTTTTTTTCCATATTTAGCTGTGTCAGCATTCCCCAGGCTTGGAAACAAATCCTCCTCAGAGCGGTGAAGTCAGTCACATCCTATTTGTACTCCTGCCTTATGTTGTTAAGGGCCTCTGTGTCTAAACATGTACATTTGCAGAGCTAATCCATTGCTGTTGTTCATTTGAATCTTTTCAGCATTCCACATTCTCACTCTTGCTGTATTGTGCACTGAAAATATTCACCAACTTCACTGATAAAGCTAGACTCAAACCGCACCTATTTCTTGTCACATACTTGCTGTGACATACTTTACTGTGTACTTTACATGAATGTTGTTATATGAATTATTGATTGATTATATTTTAAGTATTATCTTGTCTTACTGATAGATTAACAGGATTAAAAAAATACACCCTCTAGGTACCAGACATCCTATTAATAATATATGTGGCTTCTTGTTCATTTTAATACATGATCATTTATTATAAGCTTGTTGATTACATCTTGAAGCTGAATATCTGTGAATGGACTGCATTCTCGTGAAAGATGCTGGGTCAGTCACTGTGGCAAATGAAGTCCAAACTAGTGTGCTCCTCAGCTGTCTGCCTATTGGTGTTGATAAGAAAGCTGAAGTCAGTCTGCAGGTCGAGGTAGTCTTTAACCTCTCTGCTGAGGTCCCTCAGGGTCTAGGCGGCAGTGCTGCTCCGTCTAGCGCAGAGATATTAAGGTAAGCGTGAAACTACCTGGTCCTACCTAGTATGTATAATATTCTACAAGTACACTTCTCTGTTTGTATTAATGCTGGAGGCTGTAGCACGCTGTGAAAACTATTCTTGATTGAATCAACGAATTCAACTATTTTTAAAAAAGCATGATGCTGTTTCATCATGCAGTATGTGTATGCCATTGAGTAATACTATTCCCTTTATACTCAATTTTGAATTGCCTGTTGTGATTTTTGATCTTTACAGCCCCACTTAACTGACTACCTAGGACTCAATTTAAAAAGCAGATGCCAAAGGAAAAAATATGGAGTAAAAGGATCAGCTATCCAACTACTTCATCTTTCACCAACTCAAGAATAAAGCCTTTGAAAGAAAAACATAAATGGGTACTCTACACTGGTGTAACAAGCAGGCATTACACTTCCCATGTATTTCTCTTCTGAGAGCTATGTCCTGTTTGATATGTCAATACTGACAGCCGTTAGCTGTAAGTTTTCATTCTACAGTAAATCTACCCTTTTTGTCTCACAAATGCAAGTCATGAGCAGACACAGGCAGAAGAAGGGTTTGCTTTGCATTTCAGGGACTCCGGAGTAGATTCCTGCCCTCCCACCCTCTCCATCTATCCCATCAGCTCTGCACATGGGAGTTTTCACTGTAGTCAGCATTCTTCCAGCAAAGGAAGGCTGGGGTAATGAGGTGAAATGTCAAGAGAAAAATACAGAATTTTGAATCATTAGTTCATGTTTTACTGCCCTGTGCTACCCTGCCAGGTACACTGGGTTGGTGGTGTCCTTTGTCTTAACTTTTATCACTACACGGCACAAAACTAGATCTGATCTGAGGTGGGTTCCTCATTGACAGAAATCCTGGGAAGCTGCTTTTAGTAAACCAAGAGAATCCTTCCAACTCGACATGTAAGTGAAATTTCTGTCATCATCTCCTGTGATGCTTGCTGGAGTTTCATGAGATGCAGATAAGCACTTGAAGATAATTTAAATTCAAAGTGCATGCTTGAGAAAATTATTATTTATAAAAATGAAAGGACTTTTTTTTTTCCTATGTAGTGCCACTCTGAATGACCCAGAATTATTTACACTGCATTATTGGAAATATCGCTGTAATCTTAACTGGGGATTGTGTCTCCATCCTTTTCTTCATCTTCCATAATCACTGTTTGCTTTTCTTCTGTAAGCAGCTTAGTGCCTTAAAAACAGAAGGACACACAAAAAAAAAAAAATAAAAAAAAAGAAAAAAAAGAAAAAAAAAGAAAAGAGAAAATAGGAGTTGATTTTTAAAACATTACTTCTTTAGAAAATATCATGGTAAGAAGAATTTTTCAGTCCTCTCTAGTTTCTTTATCCTAACATAGTTTTCCAGCATCATCAGCGTTACTAATTTATTTTTGGTACATCAATCTCCTGATATTTCGTGAACTAGAACTGGATCGCTGCATTTTTAGCTACAATTATCAGGCACTCTTAAATCAAGTGTATTTCTCCTACCTGTGAAAAGAGACACTGAAGTTTCATTTGGGAACCTGTTCACTAAAAGAGTTTGGGAAGCTAAAACAGGAAAAGAGCTTGCATGATTAAATAAATGCTGTGGTTAATCTTTGTGTCTGAGTCAGCTCATGTGAACATGTGTATATTTTCTACACGTCTATAGCAATATTGCTTTGATTGTGCAAATGCGGATGCCAATAGAGACAAATGTTAGCATATCCACATGCCAAGTGCCATCCCCACTGAAGTATCAATCAAAACCAACTGAGTTAAGATCAGTGTGGAAAAAGATTCAGGTTGTGGATCACACCTTCCAGAAATTTCTGTCTCTCTCCCCTTCTCTCTGTCTCTCTTTTTCTCTCTTAACCCAGTAAGTCCACCCCTTACAGATCTTGAGGCTTTTATGTGATTCCGAGATATCACAATTACTGAAACAGTAACTGCTCTCTTCATTAGAAATATAACTAATAGGGTGAAGAGAGGACAATGCCTTAGGTAGAAAATGGTCTCAATCCCTATTTTAACAGATTGTGTTGTTTTTGCCTGTTCCCAGTAAAAAACAAGTGTAAGATATATTTTGTGCCCACATTCCTTGGTGTGGAGGTTTACATAGTCTAAAAACAGAATGAGGGTTAGCATTGTGTAGAGACCAACAGAATCTCTCCCTAATTCGGTCTTCTCCTACTGTTTGCTCTCAGTCTGTGCTAACCAGCTGAGTTGTTCTGTCATACCAACATGGTTTGCTTTTTTCTGCACAGAAAGCCAGCTCACAGAGGCTTTCAGACTTGACGAGGTCTGAAAATAGAGCAATACCACACAGGAAGACAGAGGAAGGTTTTCTTCAACTTTGGAGTCTTTTCAAGAGGTGAGGAATTAATGAAAATATTAACCTATACGGCCCTTCATTTAAGTTAGCTCTGGCATAATTTATATGCAGGCCTTGTGAAATAGCAGGTTTCCGCAGGACCATGAGATAACCTGAAAGGCTTGAATGAATATTATTTTGAAATACAAAGAACTTCATTTATTCAAGCAGCAATTGAGTAACCACCATTGTTAACTGCAAAGAATTGTGCCATTTTATGGAGATGGATGTAAATGTTCCCCACCAAGACTTCTATTCATATAGACAACTTAGGCAAATACAGCAATTTCCACACACCCCCCCGCCTCGCATTGTCTTTGGGTTTTGGGTTGTGGGTTTTTTTAGGGGGAGGGAGTGGGGTTTTCTTGTTTTTCTTTCTTCACAGAGCATTTGAGGAATGCAGAAAACATAACTAAAATATGTGAAGCTACAATGTATCATTTGATGAGACATAACCTGCTTTTTGAGTAAACTCAGGAATAAGAGCTCAGGAATGTAAGCTAAATAAAGCTGCTCTGTGTTTTATGATCAGGTCCACTCTCTTATTTAAATTACAAACTGATGAAGGGAAGGTACATTTATGTAATGCTGATGGCCTGGTTATAGCATATAAACTAGCCCTTTTAGAGCAGATGTGAAGGCAGCAGCTAAGCAGAGGTCCCCACATCAGTAAGAAGCATGTCAGACGCTTACCACAATCAATAGCAAGAAGGTACATCACCATCAATGAATCATTTTGGTGGCAGATGAATCCCACAGGTTTCCAGTAGCATTCAGGATTCGAAGCTCAGAGCAGGACCTAGCCTAGAGCTGCAGGTTATTAATTTTCCAGGCCATGGACCACCAGTGACTTCAAGGACAGCTACATGCCTTTAAAATCAGCCTTTTAAGGCAAAACAGTAGAAAGAGGATACAAATGGCATGTCAAAGCTAGAGTTATTTCTGTAACACTGGGAAAGAATTTTTGTTCTTTGTTATGATGCCACTGATCACTTGTGGAGAAAGTGTGCTTTACTGAATGCAGTTTGGAGATTCTGGGTTTAAAGGAGTGAGCAGGTTGCTGGATTTGGGGAACATTAGTAAGTCAGTCTTTTTCTGTTTACTGTTTAAGTAAATCACTTAGCCTCTCTCCCTCTGTTTTCTCAGCTGTGTTTATTATGAAATGCAGCTCATCCCGCAGATCTGTTTTAAGGACGGGTAGGTAGGTTGTTCTGTTAATATCTGCCAAGGGATCTGACTGAAAAGAAGCAGAGTAGAAATACAGTGTAGTCGTATTTTCCCAACAAAATTTGCAACTACTTGCAATTTTTACCTAGAGACTAGGACCTCAAAGGCTCCCAGAAACATAAGAGCTTGTTAGGAAGCTCAAACATAGGCAGAAGAAGAAATTGGCTTAAATCAGCCATTTGGCAGGTGTCACCTAGACCTAAGCCACTCCTCTTGGGTTACAAATCAGAAAACCACCAAGATGGGACTGATTCCACTTGCCTGCCTATGGGCAACTCCTGCAGCTGGGTTGGGAGAGTATTGGAGTGCTCCAGTGACATCTCTTGCACAGGAAAGGGGGAAGAGGTGACATTAAACTGCTGTGCTTCTCCTATGTCATTCAGAGATTTTCATGTGCGTGTGTGTGATGTTATTCTAAAGGAGCTACCTTAACTGTTTTTCTAGGGCATGAGGGAGAATGAGGGTTTGAAACTGTGGTTTTACTAGTTATCTCTGATCTGATTAAGCAGCCACATTTCAAGAACCACATTCCCATATTTACACATGTATCTATATTCTTGCTCAAATCCACAGGCCTAAAGAGCTCTTAGAAATACTTCCGTTAATTGAATATATTGCTAAGTGGGGATGGCAATAGAGTGTCCCTGAGCTGAGTGCAGGCCTTGGATCAGATTAAAATCATTTACTGTCAAATGAGAGGGCAAAAAAGACCACTGGAATTGTGATTATATTTTGTCTTCTGGTCTAATCCCTTCAGAAAGCTAAGACGTTGGCTAACTGAAGGGGAGATGGCCATTGGATGAGACCTCTTCTCATAGCTCATTTGTACACATGTGGCACAATGTTATTTGCACCACTTCAATAGGAGTTTGAAGGTTTAATACCTTAAGAAGTCTAACCCTTTCAGGGGAGAGTTTTGTGATGCCCAGGCTTAGACATTTAAGCTGGCTAAGGACTGATTTCCTTAGTCTCCTTCTGCAGACAACAGATAGCCATGAATTCCTCCAGACAGTAACGCTCAGATCCTAATTTAGCAGCCCCCTTTCTGTACATGCATTTCCTATTTTGGATTGGGTGTTTGCAAGGTGTAGAACTGATTCTACTTCTCACTTGGATCACGTCCCATCCAGTATTTATTTTCACCACTTTGTGTGTTCTGTTTGACTTGCTTTTATTTGAGACAGAAAAATCTCTCCGGCCACCCAAGAAGGAGAGGGACTGTCCTGGAGTGCTTATAAGCAGCTGGTCAAAATGGAGAGAAATAACACAACTGGGTTTTTTAGGTACATTTGCAACAAAGCTATTTAAATCTGCTTAAAAAGATATTCTAGTAATTTAAGCTCTGTTACTACAAACAGTTAAATGGAAATGGTGTTTGGGAGTGATCTGAAGGGGAAATGTTAGGAATGGGGACAATCCTCATTAGCAGGCTCGAGAGATACATACAGCACCGTGTGCTGCTTACTGCAGCAATGCAAATAACAGGGAGACGGAAACAGAAAGGCGTGTCTGTATTTATTTAGCACATGTAGCCCTCCCGGGGCTTCTCAGGTCTCCCAGTCTATAATTCAAGTTCTATTTTGCACAGCATTCCGCAAGAGCTCAGTTTATTTCTGCTCTGTCTGCTACCTAATGGGATAACCCTGAAAGTAAACAATTACAAATATTGGACTAGCCCTTGGCTACAATGAGTCACTTTTTCATAATGAATCATGGAGCTACCACTGGTGAACTTCAACTAGCAGAATGCTGTACGTTGGTATGTGTCTTGAAAAGAAAATATGTGTTCTTAGAGTAAGGAGGGAATGAAAATCAGGCATTCAGACATGTAGGCTACTTTGGCCCTGGTACAGACATAAGTCTGTCACCGCTCAATCGTTGAAAAATGGACCCAGAACACAGGATCTGGAAAAGCTGTCTGCAGGGAGAGCCAGCATCTAGGAAATGTCTTTGAATCCATGCTAAGTGCTGGAAGGTGCCTTCATCAGAAGGTAAGAAAGTGTCATTGGAGGTATAATAGAAAACAACTGAAAATTGCGTTCGTTTCTATCATTTTCCCAATAGCAAATGCACACAGTTTGAATTTTGTCACACATTCGAAGGTCACTGCATTTTATTTTTTTTTCTTTGCTTTGCCTTTCCTTTCCTCTTTCCTTTTTCCTTTTGAAATTTTTAATTACCAAATCATTTGGGGATTATAACATGTTTCTGTTACCATATAACTTGTGTTAGCTTATTTTTGCTTTGAACATTATTAACAGTTAAAGAGGAAGTCTTCATGGGAGGCAAAGCATGAAGACCCTTACAATGAAGTGCCTACTTGAGCCAGTTAAAGCCAGGGTAGAAACATGAAGAACATAAAAAAAAAGGAGGCAGGAGAAGGGGTTGGGGTTAGGCTTTGTGTGACTATAACTGACTAAACGCTAATCCAACCAGAGTGGTGTTGAGACAGGTCAAGGAAAAAATTCACCCTTGCTGCATCCTCTTAGCTGGCAACTACATTTAAACCAAATGAGAGTCAAAGCCTCTCAGCTTCACTGTCATACATTCCATCTTAAATTTCTATCAAATGCATTTTGCTTTCATATTTTCTTCTGTGTACACCTGGAAGGGCAAACAACATACAGCATCTTCAAAGGTGCTACAAATGGCCAAAGACAACTTTTCTTGGGAGTGTTTTTGAACTGACCAAAACAATGTTTCATCTCTCCTCCAAGGTCCACAGGAAGGGGAGGCTTCCAGTATAACACATAGGACTAATATTTATTACAAATAGTTTGATAAATTTTGCCTCTGCTTTCTGAATTAATCCCTAAAAGACTATGCATTTTTCCCACCTAATTTATTTGTCATGTGGAATTCCAGGTAATTTGCTGAGTAATTTCCTCCAGCAATATATGAGCAATTCATTACCAGTGCTTTGTATTAAATATTTCAAAGTGGAGCATTTGCAGTTGGGCTCAGGAGTTTTATTATATATTTCATTTCCCCCAGCAAAAGATTGGACAAGGTTTCCAGTGACTCACTCACAGCAGCTCTGATGCCACAAACTGCTGGGATGCTTGAGTTCAATGAGTGAATAAAAAATGTATTTTCCTTAGGCAGATCAATATGCAAGGCACTACGATTCACCACACTTGCTGCCATGGTCCTGCAAACTTAGTCGTGTTCCTCTCAGCTTTTGGGAGCCTCATACTGATTAAATGAAAAAATTCTTACGTATGTTTAAGTCAGTTTAAAAGGCTCAAATTCACAAAGAAAGGAGGTATCTATGAATACAGGTGCCTATTTGAATTGATAAGCTATTTGCACACCTTATAATTATTAGAAGTACAGGAAATTTCATTCAAAGTGTACCTGAAACTCACATGCTTGATGTACTGAGCTCTTGCCTAGCCACTCAGGGCCAAAGTATCTATCTGGGACCTCTTCATTTAGTGTGTCTCACTGCTCAGTAGTGCCAGCCCACAGTAGAACTGGTTCATACAAGAGGTTCCTAAGGGAATGGTGTTTTCTAGTTTTGGCACTAGTTTTGGATCTGGGGTTTGTTTGGTTTTTGTTCATTCATTTGTTCATTAGTTCATTCATTTTTTGCTCCATCATTTGATCTGGAAAGGGCTAGTGTGTAGCACACAAACTCGCATTAGTTTCTGCATCCTTAACAAGCACTAGTAATTAACATTTATACAGTGCTTCATATCCTCAAAACCTTCAGAAATATAGATGAATATGCACTTTTCTGTGATAGAGGAATGTGACAATTGCAACAAACAATCTTAGGACCAAAACATTGCTGTCTGACTTCATATGGTCCCCAAGAAAATTAGCTGCTGCACTGTGCATTATGCCAGAAGCATAGAACTGTCTTTAAGGTGCTGTTACCGAGAAGTTCATCACAGTTTGGTTTCCTCAGTGCATGTCAGGGACTGTGGCATTAAGAGGAGGTTAATCAGGACAGCTTTCCTCCAGGTTGTCTGAGGCAGTGTCAGCCACGTTAGTGCTGGTGACCTAAAAATTGGCATGTGCTCAGATTTGAAAAGCAGGACAGTAGTTGGCCTTTCACAAAGGTAGGATCATGTCGGCAAGAGATAATCAGGTGACCTAATGTCTTCTCTTACGCCCCTTCCTTTCTATCCCCAGAGCATGAGTAGGGGACATGGAAAAGACTTTCTATAAGCCACTACTGTCATACACTTTGACTAGATAGGTTCAGCTCAACAGGAACTGCAAAGTGCAGTCCTCGTCCCAAGCACACCTCTTACACTGGCCACTTTTCTCTTGGGAGCACCTTTACCTAAGTTTCTTACCTATTATCAAGGGTGGGATGTGTATTGCTGGTGTATCTTTTCTCCTGGGCTTTTTCTGCTCCAGTTCAGTGGTCTGAGAGACAGGACTTACTCTCTCTCTCTGTGGCTTCTCTGTGATACCATACCTTTTCAGGAGATTATCAGAAAAGTCTGAAAGTATGCCTGCAAGCAAGAAAAAAGAAAATGCTACTTCAGCCTTGTTCAGATTGGAGAAATTTGACCCCATAGGCACCAGTGATGCTATCAGGCCAGTTGGCTTCTGGTTGTATTAATGGCCTAAACTGCAGCCCATCAGAAACCATGGTAAAAATGAGTGCAATCTTCTATTCCAGAAGCTTGGACATCTTATCAAAGCAGCTTAATGATATGGATGTTCCACCCTCTGCTTAGGAGCAATGTGACCACAAAGAAATGGCCCATTTTAACCGGTGAAGCAGTTTTATTTATTATATGGCTACTGCAGGCACAAAATACAGCTCTCCAGCCTCTGAGCTGCTCTTCCCTAAGAGAGAATTACTGGGGGGAAGATTCAAATGAAAGCTGAACAAAGTTCTGTGTCTGGATTACAAATACTGGAAAACTCCAGCTGCTTGTTTTTGACTTGGTGAATCACTGCGGGTCCACAGGGAACCATGCAAGTAGTTACTGGCTAACTCCTCTGTGTATGTGCAGCATGGGATGGAGAACTCAACACAGCTGATACAAGAGCACAGCTCTCTCCCTGGAGAGCACAACAAGGAGTGCTTGTTAGCAGAGAGAAGTGACAAACATTTATTCCCACTGCTGATCTTGGAAGACTGTCAGGTTTCAGTGGCAGTCTCTTGCTCATTTTTCCCTTCCCCAGGTTAGTGGCATTTAGCTTTCGAACTTCAGAGGTCAGTGGATGTGCAGCAGCAGGGAGCATCCTACAAGCAGCCAATTTGTTGCTGTGGTGGTTTCTGGCTTCCCAAAACATCCGCCTTTTCCCAGAGTCCCCATAAGCTCAAGAGCTCTGAGATTTTCAGGACGAGCAACCTGCTTGTGCGTATCTCTGCTATCCTCCCAGCCTTATCCCATTCAACCTTACCCTGAGCACTGGATATGAGTTTCATAGGAAAATATAGGTGCTGAACTGGATCCTTTTTGATTTTTGGACCAGATCTAATTGGGACATCTAGCATGGCTCAGCAGCTAGAGATAAATACACATCATTTATCACATAAAGGCAACCAGACTATGAGCTGCAAGGGAGCACATTTTCCAGAGCTCACACCCACTCACCTTGGTATTCCCAGACCCTGTAAGAAAAATCCTTTGCATAATGGGGAGTGACTTTGAGAAAGTCAGCCCCTGATTGCCTTCCCAGGAGCACATCCATGGAGCTGCATTCTTGGAGGGGTTATAAATGAACGAGGGATCTCTGGACCTTTGCCTAGATTCAGTACCCTCAACTGAATTGGGATTTCAAAATCAAGACATGTATTGCTCACCTGTTAGAGGTGGTGGGGTGTGCACAGCAGGTGTATCTTTTCTCCTTGGTTTTTTTTGCTCCTGTTCAGTGTTTTGGGAAGCCGGGATGGTTTTACCTTTTCTTGGTTTCTTTTTGAGGTCACAGCTCTTAATCAGCTGCTCTGAAAGATCTTCTGCAGGGGAAAAAAATTAAAAGATGAACAGAAATTGTAACTGAGGGGAAATAATAAACCAGATGGTGAAAAGAAAAGCTTCAATAATACTGCCCACTATGTGTGTGGGCTGTGTCTTCAAGTGTTACAAGGGTTCTTCTGTGAAGGAAAGATTTACGTGCGTTGGGTCAGCCTGAGGTATTGGTAAACTGAGCCTGTATATTGTTCCCTTCAAGAGCTGGCTTTATTTCCAGAGCCACTCAGCAGTTGGTATTTGCTTTTGAACTCTGCAACATAACACTGGATTTTTTATTTTCCCTTAAAACAAGTCTTGACTTAGATGACTCAGATGGTCAGTATGGTTTTTCTGCAAGAATCTGCATTTCTCGGGGCTTATGGAAGCTGAAAATATTGAAGACAGCCTGCAAACCAATCCTTTGTTTTCTAAAAAGTTTGGCTTCAGCTGAATCCCCGACACCCCTACCCAACGCCTAACTGCAGACTTGGGTACATACAACAGGACTTTTTTCCAGGCTCTCTCACACTATTTGAGGCAGCTGTACATCTGCAACCCTGCCAGTAGAGGCGAGAAGAATGACCTCCAAGTGAAGTCCCTGGATTATGTGGGGTTTTTTCTGGCACTCACAGGCTTCCTGCACAGTCTTAATGAGCTCATGTAACCTCCTGCTGCCTCAGTTTCCTGACCATAGAATGGGACTTGTTCTTTACTTATTTAAGTAAGTAAATCTATGGAACAATTATGTTTAGTATACCAGCAGTTGTAAAAGTGATGTCTGTGGCTAGAAATGCTGTGCGGCAGAGGCAGAGCTAGAATATCTTCCTTGCAGGCCTGATAAACAAAGTTTATTAAAACTGTGCTTGCCTGCAGTGGGACGCTTTTTTTTTTTTTATTAGACAGTGGAATTGCATTTGTGTTTCATTATTGCCATCACAAGGGTAAAACGAGCAAATAGATTTTCGTTTCTGGGTTGCTAAATCTTCGTGACATTTTTGAAAGACATGAGTAAAGTAATAGCCTTTGATACAGAGGCAAAGACCATGAATATGCAAAAAAACACATCTACCAAGTACGAAGTCCGGTATTTAGGAGTGTGATGGAGCAAAGATGCCTCTGGTACTCTCAGTGCAAAAGTTATGTATGAAATAGGTTGAAAAGGGGAAACAGATTGATGATGAAGGAGAAAAAGTATTTAGGAAGCCACCCCTTTGAAATCTTTCACTGAAATTGTATATGAAAAATGTGTTCAGGGAAGGCTCAACTATATCCTAGCTCACAGTTTATTGTGGCATAAAATAAGAAACTTTTTCTATGAGGGAAAAGAACAATGACTCTTTTTCCTTTCTCCTCTTTAATTAACTTGGCTCTGGAGCTTTGGCTGATATTTATATGCAGGGAAAACACTCTTTTCCATCTGGCATCAGAAGTGACAGCAGCAGGTGTAATCTATTGGGTTTCATGAGGGCTCAGTTGTGTTGCTGGAGGGAAAAAACGGACACTGGACGGGACCTAATAATGTGAAGACAACACCTCTCTAATTACTCCAATGACATCATCTAATAACACTTACCTAAATGGTTACAGTGTGAATCTCGCTTGTCCAGTCTGTCTTCTGGGATATCAAGTGACTGTACGCATTCTGTTGACATCATTGAAATGGGCTTTTCTCCTGCTTTAGGCTACCACACCAAAAAAAAGAACAAAAACAAACAAACAAAAGCTATAGCATGACATAAAACAGACATATTGGTATAATGTATCTGCTTGCTAGCCAGATCATGAGAAATTCTTTTGATCTCTGCCATGCATGTTTGCTCATGCATGCTAAGAGATGTATTTATTCACTGTCTTGGTTGCACACACAATATCCTGCAAGTTTTCCTGCAAACAACCCACACGAGCATGGGAAATACATTGGCTCTACAAATGTTCTGGATTTTTTTTTTCTCCATTTTTTTCTGAACTGTTAGGATCATTTTTGATGTTTATAATACAATCTAATGATGAACGCTATTGAGTTAATCTTACAAGTTCAGCTCTTCTAAGAGAGCTTACATACCCCTGAAGACCTAGGTGTGAGTGTTGCCTCACAGTGCCCAGAGGCCGCAAAGCCGACATGAAGTAGACTAACTCATCACTTTATGTGGTGAGTGTGGAAACCCATATCACAAGGCTGTTTAAGCACCCTGTAGGTCCCACTGGGTTGCTCTTTTGGCTGTTTTATGTCCCTTTACTCACAACTGCAGGGGGTTCTGGAGCCCAGCTTCCTACCTGAGCTCCCCCAGCATCCCCTGAGCTGAGATTTGATCCTGGACTTGCTCACTCTGGAGCCACTGCAGATGCCATCGTGGGAAGAAGGAAATTAGACCATTTTTTTTTTTACTGCTGATAATTTCTATCGTTGCTTAGTAGAAACCCATCTGAACAACACAGCGCCGTCAAAGGGAAAAATCTTCAACCTGAAAGTACACCCTACAGAGTTATCTGGGCATCTCCCTTCAGCCATCAACAGCTGTGGCAGCTTCTTACTCACAACCTCTGTCCTCCATTTTTGAGAAATAAGAGCCAACTGTGATTTCCTTGTAAGGAGGAGGAAGGCAATGAGGAAGAGAAAAAAACCAGGAGACAATAGAAGGCAGGAGGAACTGGGAAAAAACAGTGGAAGGAGGTGGAGGCAGAGAAGAAAAGGTAAATAAAAGAGAAAGGTGAAAGGTGAAAGAAAAGGCAGTTGGAGAAAAACAGTGGAAAGGAGGATAGGAAAATAAGATACTACCATAGGAGTTTGTTTCTGTCTTGCTGGAGGTGAAGAAATTGCCTATATTATTTCTCTGTGAATTGCAGTGGTTGTTAACAGAAAACAGAACAGTAGGGAGGTTAATCTCATTTCTAGTACTAAACTTGCATCTATATAAAGAACAATTAATCCTTAAGCAAAATCCAGTAATATAAATATTTCCCAAACAAAATATGAAAGGTCGCACTCATAATTATGCACTGAGCTAATTCTTCAGGGGATGGATAAACATGTCCTAAACTCCAGTGACTTCACAGTGAGTGGAGAAATGCTGGCTGACAGTAATAAAGGCCAGGAATATTGATTCATAATGTACATATAGGATTAACAGTATTCAGAATTCACAAAAATCTGTAAAATTTTACAAACTCACAGATACTTTGCTGAATCAAGCCTGGATAAGGGGTTCGACCTCTGTCTATTTGCTGCAGAGCTGTTTCAGTCCAGTCTCACATCTGTACTAAAGGATTATGCTGCCTGGAGACTTCATTCGTGTTTACAGGAAAAATAATCTTTCACTTGGAAAGACCTTGCATAAAGAAATCTCTGAATGCACCTTAGCATGGTATGGTTGCTCTGTTTATTCACTGTATAAATAAACTATATCTATGGGTTAAAATGAATGAATAATTTTATTTAAAACAAAACCTTAGTATCTGGCCATATGAAGGTTCACAGTGCATTTTGTGATTTGAGAGAGTTGGGTTTTTTCCCTTCGGTGCCATTTCATTTTATCAGATTTGATTAGGGCATGCTGACTAAATATTATGATTGTACGGAAAACATTCCTTTCTGAAGGGTACTCTGTTTAGAAAGTTTTTAGGAAAATTCAGGGTACTAGTTCAGACACTATGGACTTTTTTTGAACAGGTCTTGAGACAAAAAAGCTCAGGATAAATAGTAAAATTTAAATGTCAAATTGGTAGTAAATTATACTGACTGGAAATACCTTATAAAATATAGTTAAGTTTGGTTTGATTTCACATGGCTGTTTCATTGAGTTATTTCACCTAATAAAAATTAAACTTTGTAAAGCGACTTAATGTAGAATTGAAGTATTCAGATTATGAGTGACTTCCTTAATTATTTTTTTAATACAGTAGTTGGAAAAACAGTATTCTAAAATAAGCCTCTTAGATCTTTCACATTTTCATAGTCACAGACACCAAGCCCTTCTTCAGGGCTATAAAATACATCTTTACAGCCTAACTTTTGACACCCCTCTCCCTTTATTTTTTTCAAGCTCACCCTGCAGCCAGCATTGACTTGCTTACAAAAGTATTGCCATATGTCACATTGTGACAGTCTGTGTGACAAAAGAATAAAAAGAGAAAGATTACCAAAATGTATCATGAGTTTTGGTGTCTTAGGTGTATATACACTGCATACAGTGTGCGAACCTGTGAGTGCTGTTACCTCCTGTCACTGCGCATTACATACAGAGCTCTCGCTGGGAGGAGAGGTGATGTATGTCAGCCTTGTAATGGTGCTTTACCAAACCACTAAAATCAATTTCTGCCACTAAAGAGATTCCCCAGTAATGTTTTGTGTGAGAAGGATTCCTTTACAAATGGAAGCAAGTTCTTAGGTTTTCGTGTGTTAAGTGCAACTCTTCTCTAGCAGCCTTCATGCTAGCATGGTTTGCACTCCCTGCTGCAGTCAGTCACAGTAGGTAATGCTTGTTATTTACGTGATGGACCAAGAGTGGGTTTTTTTTTTCCTTCTTGCACTCTTTTATATCTCTCGACATAATGAGCCACATTCATCCTTAGTGCAACTGTGACGGTTTACAGTGGAGCTCTAAATCACACTCAGCAGAAGACGCTTCCTGGAATTGATATAGATGTTTTCTGTATGAATTAGGATTCAATAGTCATCTAGCCTGAGACTTCAGTTCAATGTAGCTAGGCTGTACCACTGCCCTGCAGAGATGTGTGCCTAAAGGAGCCACCTGGAGTTTCTCGCTTTTGTGAAAAGAAAAACAGATCTGATAGAATCACCTTAAAAGCTTCCCTAAAGTTTGAGACATGTTCTAGCTTTGCCTACATAATTTCACATTTGCTCCTTGTAAAAGCATTTGGCATTCAATAGGATTGGCTCTACTTACAGACAGAGAAGAACAAAGAATGATAATACAGACTGAAAAGTGCAGGTATGAGTAAAGGCTACTTCTGTCTTACATGGATCAGCTCTCATGTTGGGTCACTGTCATGTAACAGCACGACTCCTTCATAGGAGATGGTGATTCAGATGACAAATATCTATTTTAGCTTTCTAGATATCACTTTTGGTACTGAGGGATTTCTAGGTAGCTCAAAGCACACACTAAAACTTTTTTTCATAGTTCTCAGTTGCTGTATATACTTGATTAAAATGCCTGAATAAAGCTATCCAGAGAAAAGAGATGTACAGCTCCTACCACTCAACTAACATTGTCTTAAAACACACACACAAACACACACACACACACACTGCCAAAACCAAGATTCTTTCTTTGCTTAAATTGTGCAGCTTTGTCAAAAAGTCTATGTGTGCAACCAATTCTATGCTTTCATTAGGTAAACAAATCTTGCCTAGAGATGGACAAAAACCCCAGTTTTTCTTTACTGTTTTAATGTGCAGTTGGTTGAATGAAGATATTTGCCTCAAATGATCAGGCTAGAGTCTGGGTGTTCCTGCCTTGTGTTCCTAATTATTTTTTTTTTCATTATGAGTTTCACTATGTGTTTAAAATTACTGTACTGGAGCAACGTCTTCCCAGACAGAAAAGACAGCCTCATGCTGCTCCACAGAGTTTCTTCTCCAGTTATCTGGACACTAGGTTGCTCTCTCCAGGCATTCTTGTCAGATTAGCCTGATTTTTATTTTTTAGAAGGAAACACTTAGGTATTAGAAAGCCTGATCCATGTGCCACCTTCCACCCAGAACTTTTTCTACTAATAATTGTGTGGATGCAGAAATCCCACAGAATTGTCTGAGAACAGGTTCCTCTCACAGACAGTGTGCTGTTGCAGGCTAATTCAAAGCCCTGGTTTGGCTGTGGACTGACTCCCACTTACCTCCCATAAACTTGAAAAAAAAAACAACTAAAAATACCAACAGTTAAACTTTGATTGATGGGAAAAAAAGTAAGATACATTTGCACAGATTCTGATCACAAAGTTTTGTCTTTGGAGATAGTAAAAAGTACAAAGTCTCGCTTAATTACATCCTTGAGGTACAAACTAACACATGGCAACCCTTTGTAGTGGAATAAAAAGTCCTGACACCACTTCCCGCTCTGCTGCCTTGCACTATCTGCTTGTGAACTGTCCCAGCAGTTCAAGTTAGTTGAAGCAGTTGTCTCTAAAGCACTCTCCTCCCCACCACCCCATCTATGCATTTCAGCCTCAGTGCAGTTGCACCCCAACTTTCCACACATGGGACCCATCCCCAGCCTGCTCCCTGCAGAGTGGGGACCTTGGACTTTCCTGCTGGTACCCATTGGGCACATGGGGGATTTGCCTTGCTGGTCGCGGCTGATAAAACAAAACAAAATGAAGTGAAACAAAACAAAACAAAACCAAGTGAAACAAAATGAAAAAGAAAAGAACAAATCAAGAAGCCACCCAGGAGAGAGGGAAGCGTGTGGATGAAGTACTTACAAAGCGATGCAAGGCGGTGGGGAGGGTGCGATTCAGCGCTGGGGCTCGCTGGAGCGGGACCTTTCTGGGCTGGGGCTGCAGCTGATGCTCCTGACCGCCTTATCTAGGGACCAGCGGGGGCGGTCGCTATGGCAACGCTGCGCTCAGGCCTCCTCCGGGGGATGGGGAATAGCATCACCGTTCCCTGGCCCCACTAGCAGATTTTGACCGTCTTTCCTTCCTCTTCAGCGAATTGCTGAGGTCGAAGGAGAGGGAACAGGATGGGGGAGACTGGCAGCGCCTCAAAGCGAAGGCATCTTTCCTGCCAGGCGACCAAGAGCTGCAGACGCTGCTGCTCTCAGAGAAGAAGGAGAGGATGCAAAAGCTTCAGCAAAGAGATCCAAAAGGTGAACTGCAGCCGCTGTGTCAAGAGGCGCAAGGAAAATGGCAAGGGGAGGGAGCGAGGCTGGTGCCGTCTGGGACCCAGGGGAGCACTGAAGATAAAAGTGGAGCGAGGAGGCAGGGCACATGTTTAGGAGCAGCACCATAAGCACTAGAAGTGATGGACACTGTCTCCAGGGCTGAGGCTTAGTGATGACTGTGGTGTTTGTGTATGCGTCTGGCCACAACTAGTTACACAAGGGTGGTATTTACAGGGCCCGGCAGGGAGACTTCTGTGGCTGCCGGTCTGCCAGTGGAGCTCAGTCTCTCCTGTTTTAGCCCATACCTTTGGATGGTGCTGTTATTTCAACTGAGGGGAAAAATATACAAGCATGCTTGGAAAAGCTCTGGGAGGAGCTCTCTACTCAGTGGTGGGACTGTGAACTGCCCCTCTCTTAGTATTCATTTCAACAAAAATGCCTTTGTCTATCCCTTTCATTAAAACATTTGTAAAATTTGTGCTCATGGCTGTGATTATCTCCTTCTCTTTTCCCCTACTCAATGACTGAAATTCAACAGCAGCAACATCTATTGCATACTTTTAATTAGTCAGGGTTTCTTTCATAAATACTATACAGAAGGCCCAAAAGGGCACTGTGCTAATTCCCAGTCCTGCAAACTGCGCAGCACCCTCAGATTCTGCATGTTTCAGGTGCG